CTCTAACAGCATGGTTTGAGGCCAACAGTGAGCCTGCTATTTCTAATCAAGCAAGGAAGTACACGTATGTGCAGTTTTCACAAAATTTTGTGTTTAATAAATGTTCTAAGAAATGGAAGCTATGTATATGTGGAAATGCCATTGGACATACAGTATATATTTTGTACATCCAGATGTGGATGAGCGCTATTATCTATATATACTTCTGAACGTGATATGTGGGGCACAATCATTTGAACACTTGTGTACTGTAAATGGTATAGAACATGTAACATTCAAGAATGTATATCAAGCAATGGGACTTCTTCAAGATGACTTAGAACTAGATCAGTGCCTTAAGGAAGCATCAATGATACAAACTAAACAACAATTACAGTATCTATTCGTTATTATTCTGATCAACTGCCATCCAACAAAACCTGAAAATCTTTGGAAAAACCACAAAATTGCACTTTGTAATGACATACTATATCAAGCACAGCAGCAGACACAAAATCCAGTTCTTCAGTTATCAAGAGACAATATCGAGAACCAAACATTATGTCTCTTAAATGACATTCTAAAGAAATGGGAAAAAACTTTAAACGACTTCCCTAATATGCCAGTCCCCACTATGTACAATAATGTAAGCAATTCTCTGATAGCCAAGAAGCTAAACTATGATCAACTAGCACTTACGAAGTTTGTTAATCAAAATATAAAACTTTGAATAGTGATCAGCAAGCTATATATAATGAAGTCTTGCAAACAGTTAAGCAAAGAAATACTGTATGCTTTTTTTTAGATAAATCAGCTGGCACTGGAAAAACTTTTCTATATTTGATACTTCTAGCAAAGATATGTTCACAAAGGAAAATAGCCCTAGCAGTTGCCTCCTCTGGAATTGCTGCATTACTACTTAATAATGGCCAAACAGTGCATTCACGTTTTAAAATTTCTATTAAACTCAATGAGGATTCCATATGCAACATATCAGTACAATCCAATCTTGCTGAACTTCTCAAACAAATGATACTCATTATTTGGGACGAAGCTTCCATGATGTACCGATATGTATTCGAAGCCATAGACATACTTTGCATAACATTATGAGTACAGTCAATCCATAGTTAAATCATGAATCATTTGGCAGGAAGGTTATTGTATTTGGTGGCGACTTTAGACAAGTTTCTTCAGTTGTTTCAAAAGGTGGATGAGAGGATGTTGTAGATGCATGTATATGCCGATCTTATTTATGGCGACATATCAAAGTCAGGAAATTGACTATCAATATGTGTTTGCAGCAAATAGTTGATACATTAGATGCAGATATTCGTAAAGAGTTTGCTGAATGACTATTAAAGATTGGTAAAGAACATATCCCTGAAATTATATATGATAGTGGCTATATTCCCTTACCATCAGATATCATACTTAAAAATAATACACTCCAAGAATTAATCAACTTTGTATACCCAGAACTTCCAACACAATCTCAGGATGCAACGTATTTAATTGAGAGAGGAATTCTTGCTTCATGGAATAATGAAGTTGACACATTGAATACAGAAGTACTTGTCCAATTTTCTGGAGAAGAAACAATATATTACAGTGCAGATGCATTAGATCAGAACACGGAAACATATAATCCTATTCAGGAGAGTCTTTATCCAGTCGAGTTTTTAAATTCATTGAAGTTTAGTGGATTACCATCTCATAAATTGATACTCAAAGTTGGTGTTTCTATTATCTTACTTTGCAATATTAATACAGCTGATGGTCTTTGCAATAGGACTCAATTGATTGTTAGAGCACTTCAACAACATGTTATTGAGGCAGAACCCATTAGCAGATCTCTAGCTAAAAAAAGAGTATTTTTGCTTTGCATTTCACTATCTCCTATAACTACATCAATGCCATTTATTCTGAAACGTCATCAGTTTCCATGTCAACTTGCTTTTGTAATGACTATTTACAAGGCTCAAGGGCAAACAATGAAGTGGCTTGAACTATATATTGTAACTCCTGTATTTTCACATGAACAGTTATATGTTGCATATTCAAGAGTAGTATCAAGACAAAGACTATGCATCTTTCTTGGACAATCCCAACTGGAATTTTCACAGTATACTAAAAATGTTGTCTATTTTGAAATACTTCAGCAATAGCCTAACACTATAATTTATAAAAAAAATATTGTCATTAATAATATTAATGTTAATGTTAATTATATATACTTTTAATCAATAACATATATCATTCTCTTTTTCTAACACTACAAATCGGCTAACATATTATGTAACATATCCATCGATAAATTATTAATATAACAATAACCTGTCGTTTAACGATGGGTCTATATCTAGTAATATACTAAAATTTTGAGCAATTCCATCCAGTCATGCAAAAGTTATATGGTGATGACTTAGCATTATCTTTTTTGTATAAGACTGAAAGCAAAAATCCAGTTTTTTTTTTGCTTAAAATTTTTGTTTGAAATTTTCATCGAATGTTGCATGACACGTGAGTGATATTATGCAAAATTTTAAACAAGGTTTGTGTACCACAAATCGCTGTAAAAAAAACAACTGGTTTTTTTTTCTTTAAAATAGATAGCAAAAAGGATTTAATGGAGAGACAAAGAAGTTCTGTCATTTATGGATACTTAAGAAAAGATTCAGTATGCCAGATTGCAACCCTTGTGGGCTGTGAAAAGACTGCCGCCTGGAATATAATAAACAAGTTTCATAAGTCAGATGAATTTGCGTAAGAAAAAAAAAAAAACGTCCTGAACATCTAAGTTTTCTCACCTTCACCTATACATGTGGCTAAAATTATTTTACAATTGACTCAATTATTTGAAATTTTTAGTACCGCAATTAATGTGCCGCAAGCCGCAATTGTGACGCAATTATATAAATTTGTTACAATTAAATTAATATGACGCAATCATGTGATTTGCTGCAATTATTAAATTTGCCACAATTAAATTAATATGATGCAATTATGTGATTTGTCACAATTATCAAATTTGCCACAGTTGTGCCACAATTAAATAAATATGACGCAATCATGTGATTTGCCGCAATTGTGCCGCAATGTCAAAATTGTGCCGCAATTATTAACCAATCAAATTTAAAAAACAAGAAAAAAACCGAAAATAATAAATTAATTATTTTTTTATTCATCTATTCATCCATCCATCTATCTATCCATCCAAAATGCAAAGTGATGACAACCAAACAGTTTCTTAATTCTCAAAAAATACTGTTGGACGACCAGAGTCAGTTGCTTGCAATATTTTAATAAAACTTTTATTGATAAAAGCCACAGACACTTTTCTGCAATATGTTACTATTGTGATAAAAAATATCAACGGGGTAAACTAAATATTCTTGAAGACCATTTAGCATATGAGTGTATATTTTGTCCAATTGAAATCTGAAATGAATTTTTGGAAACAATTGCTAATAGAACAGTTGAGAATAAAAAAAAATCCAACAAAAAAACAAAATTAGAT